CCCCCCCAAGCATGCTAATCTTAATACCCCCCTTTTTCTTCCCCCCCTTATCCCTCCCTGCCCACCCATCCTCCCCAGTTCCTTTCCCTTTGGTACCTAGAACAGAGTATCTTTGAGTGTGAGCTTTGGAGTCAAATAAACCAGGATTTTAAAAAAATAAAAATGTGCACATTTAAAAGTATATAGTGGTATGCATTTTGACAAATGTAAACACTCATGTAACCACCACCACAATCAAAATGTAGAACACTTCTATTACCCCAAAAGGTTCTCTTGTGCTGGTTCCCAGTCAGTCCCTTATCTTCCTCCCTCCCCACAATCACTGATCCACCTTCTACCACTATAGGTTCCATTCATCTTCATTACAGTTTTGTATAAATGGAATCATACAATGTGCACTTGGTGTCTGGCTTCTTTCACTCAGAATAAAGATTTTAAGATTCATCCAAGTGTTTGCATGTTTCTATAGTTTGTTCATTTTTATTGCTAGGTAGTATTTCATTATATGGATATACCACTATTTGTTTATCTTATTGATGATCATTTGTGGTTTTTTGCTGTTATGAATAAAGCTGCTATGAACATTCATGTACACATTTGTTTAAACAGACATTTTCATTTATCTTGAGAAAATATCAGAGTGAAATTTCTTGGTCATGTGGAAAATGCATGTTTAAGAAACTGGAAAACAGTTTTCCAAAGTACAAGACCATTTTATACTCTCACCAGCAATATAAGAATTCCAGATGCTCCATATCCTCCCCAACATTTGGTATTGTTAGTTTTTAAAACTTTTGACCATTCTAGTGGGTGTAAAGTGATATCTCATTATGGTTTTTAGTTGTGTTTTTCTGATTACTAATGCTATTGAGTATCTTTTTATGTGCTCATTGACCATTTGTATATCTTCCTTTGTGGAAATGTTTATTCAAGTCTTTTTGCCATTTTTAGGAAAAATTGGGTTATTAGCCTTTTTTAATACAGATTTATAGAAATGTAGTATGTACACATGTATGTATATACAAACACACACACACACATGTACTCTGGATATAAGACCTTTGTCAGATATATATATTTTGAAAGTTTTTCCCAATCTTGGCTTGCCTATTCATATTTTATTAGTGTCTTTTTATGGGAAATTTAAATTTTGATGAATTTATCAATTTTTCTTAACAATTAGTGATTTCTGTGCTGGTGTTCTTTGCCAGCCCAACACCACAAATACATTCTCTTACATTTTCTTTTAGATCTGCACTGCTGGCTTTCAGTTCACTGGTTCTTTGTTCTGTCATTTTCATTCAGCTACCTACCCTATTCAGTGAGGTTTTTATTTTGGTTACTCTATTTTTTAATTCAATAATTTCAGATTGGTTCTTTTATATATTTTTCTACTTGCTGAGATTTTTATTTCAGGAGAGTTTGTAATTGCTCGTTGAAGCATTTTTATGATGACCGCTTTAAAATCTTTGTCAGATAATTCTAGCATCTGAATTATCTTTGTGTTGTCATCTGCTGATTGTTTTCTCATTCAAGTTTCCTAGTTCTTGGCATGATGAGTGATTTTCTATTGAAACATGGGCATTTTGTGTATTATGTTATGAGACTCTGGATCCTATTGAAATCTTCTATTTAAGCTGGCAATCACTCTGTTTAGTGTACAGGTCCTGGCCTAAGTTTTTGGGCTGTCAATCCAAAGACACTGTAGTTTTCAGAGTGCTTGACGTGCTCTTCTGGTCTGCTTCATTAGTGTGCTACCAAAGACCAATCTGAAAACCTACATGGTATTCCACATTATAATTCAGTTCTCAAATATTTGCCATACTAATTCTATTCAGCTGTGGGTCATTCCGGGGCTTACCTAGGACTTCACATAGAGGTTTAAAGAACCTTTCATCATTTCTCTCTTCCCAGATCCTCCTCTGGATGGATGAGGGTTACCTTGTTCCTGCCAGGGGATGGTGGTGGGGAGGGGTCAAAGTCCAAGGCAGCTTGCGTCTTCAGAGAGTGAGAAGTGAGAGTGAGGGAGAGAGAGGACCAGCAAGATGGAAATAACAGTTTTAGGTAATGTAATCTCAGAAGTGACATCCCATTACATTTGCCATATTCTGTTTGTTAGAAGCAAGTCACTACATCAGACCTACATACACATAAATGGGGATTACATACGACATGAATATCAGGGGACGGAGATAAAAGGGAGTCATTTTAGAAGCAACCTACTACATTGTCTTTAATTTTTCTCACTTTTTAGTTTTCAGAGACAATAAGAAAAAAGCTACCTTTTATGTTTACCATTTAATTATTAATATGATTAGGTTTAAGTGTACCACTTTGCTGTTTGTTTCCTATTTAATCTGTTTTTGTTCTATTCTTTTTTTCCTGCCCTCTTTCAGGTTAATCAGTACACACAGTGAAGTGAAAAGCTCTTAAGTGTATAATTTCATAAATCATATAGTATATATATATGCTCTCTTGTGTCTGACTTCTTTCATGTGACCTGCTTTTGAGATGCCCTCTATTGGCATTTTGGCTGTCACTCTTTGTATTAAACCTCTTTGATCTATCTTTAAGACCATTAAATCTTTCTTTTGCTATCTCCAATTTGTAAAGCCCATCTAATGAATTTTTAATTGTAGACACTGTAGTTTTCAGTTCTAAAATTTCATTTGATGCTTTTTTCATGTTTTCGTCTCTTCTGATTCCCCATCTGAGCATGTGTTACAGTCATCTTTCCCTTTAGGTCTGTGGACATATTTTTAATAGATGCTTTTAAATCCTTGTCTGTTAATTTTGAGTCATCTTGTCTGTTTTTGTTGACTACTCTTCTCTTTTACTATGTCACATTTCCTCTTTACAGGATTATATGTCTACTGTATATTGAATATTGTGAGTGATAAAAGTTGTAGACTCTGGGTCTTTTTATTATTTTCTGAAGAGCTTTTTGTTCTGTCAAGCAGTTATATTACTGACTGATCTCCTTGAACTTGTGGAAATTTGATTTTATCCAATGTTAGGATGGGTCTGTTAAAGACCCTCTAATTTGTATATAGTGTAAGCAGAGACCATAGATAGCCACTTGTCTCAGCACCATTTGTTAAAGACTATTCTTTCCCCATTGAATGCTCTTGGCACTCCTGTCAAAAATAAAAAATCGGAATAGATAGATGGTTTTATTTCTGGACTCTCAATTATTCCACTGATCTGTATGTCTGTTCTTGTGCCAGTATCACACTGTCTTGATTCCTATTGTTTTGTAGTAAATTTTGAAATGGGAAGTGAGTGTCCTTCAATTTGGTTCTTCATTTTTAAGATTGCTTTGGCTATTCTGTGTCCCTTACGATTCCTTATGAATTTTAAGATCAGCTTATCAATTACTACAGAGAAGCTATCTGGGACTCTGATGGAGATTATTTTGAATCTATAGATCAATTTGGAATGTATTGCCATCCTAACAATTGTATCTTCTGACCCATGGTCATAGATGTCTTTCCATAGTTTAGATTTTCTTTATATCTTTCACCTATGATTTAGTTTTAAGATTTTAACTTTTACATTTAATTTGTTAAATTTATTCCTAAGTGTTTTATTCTCTTTGATGCTATTGTAAATAGAAATTTTTAATTGCATTTTCAGGTTTTCAAATATATCAGGTGCTGTGTACTCTCTCCTCTCCTTTTGAAACCCATTATATGTAGACTGCTTTATATGATACTGTTGCTTTTTTCTCCAGTCCTTTTTCTCTGCTTTAGTTTTGGTCATTTTTATCGATTGATCTTCACATCTTCTGATTCTTTCTTTTCCAATCTACTGTTAAGTCCAATCAACAAATTTATTTCAGACATTGTATTTTACAGTTCTATAATTTTCATTTCTTTACAATAAACTTATTTATGTTCATAATAGTTCTATTGACTTCTATGAGACATATTTTCTTGCTTTGCATGTCTCATAATTTGATACTGTATTTTGGACATTATTTAATAAAAGAACAATTAAGTATAATAAGAAATAATAAAAAAGAAAAAAACTGTATAAGAACAAACATAGTACTTGTTTGCTTTCCAAAAAGTAGAAACACTTCTTCTAACCATTAGAAAACCTGATCATTCAGATTCATCTTAAGAGTAGGGCTGGGGCTGAGTTGCAACTTTAGTTAGATTGATTCTACCTGTGATCAACCCAATTCCCAATTTTCCCAGATGCTCTTTCTGATCTTGTCAGAATTTGACCAGGGAAGGGGTTGGTTGTACTTCTAGGTATTTTTGGTTCACCTTCGGAGTCAACTTGACAGAATCCCAGAACGTAATCACCTGAGAACATGCACAGCTACATCATTATGCTTATTAGCCCCTCCTCCACTACCTTCTCAGCAAAATTTGAAGGGAGGCAGCCGACATAAGGACAGAATTGCTGAGCTAGGCCATTTGTTTTTGTGTTTGTGATGCTTTCAGATCCCAAGCTGTCTTTCCATTCCATACCATCTCTCAGACTCTCTCAGCCCTTCAATGTCTCCCCATCTATGGCAGGCCTACCCATACCCACACCAGGAGCCCACCTCAAGACCGGAAGCTGCCCAGTTCTGTTACCTATAAATTCTTTCCGGAATTCATTTCAAGTCTTCCTTACATATATTACTTTTTGTTAGCCCCATGGAAAATTATGGAATGTTTTGTCCAGGTTTTTCTTGTTATCATGTAAACAAATGTCACCCAAGACCATCTCCTTAGTCAGAAGTTTGACACCAAGTAAGTCACCCTTTAGGACTGTTTCCTAAAGTGTAAAATGAGGCAACTTTGATGGATTTGCTATTTGATTTGGTCTCTTTTCATAGCAAGTGACAAAATTTTTTGCTTAGTCAAAAAGAGGATTTATTGGTTCATACAACTTCAAAGTCCAGAGATGGGGCTAATCTAAAGGACCTGATGCAGAAGCTCACATTATTCTCTTTCTCAGCTTGGTGGCTACTCTTCTTCATCTACTGAATTTACCTTTATATTTCTCTTCTTAAAGTAAAGTAAGTGCTTAATATTTGCAGGTTTAATGAAGAAAACATGTCTACAGCACCTACAGCACTTAAACCTCCTCTGCATTAAACCCAGAAGAAACTACCTACTCAAAAAAATTAAATGAAAAACGTAGCTGCCAAAGCACTCCGTTGTTTTCCTCGCGTACTGAGTTACTTCCATCACAGCTTAGCACAGGCCAATGGGGTTGAGTCCCATTTAAGAGTGTAGGGAAGGGGCGAGGGCAATAGGTAATGCTGTTCTAAAGGAGCAAGTATTTTGTACTCACAGTGTTGAATCATCAAATGGAAAGAACTTCAGAGCTTTGTCCAAGAACCTCAGAGCTTTGTCCCTTCTGCTTCCCAACCTTAGTTCTATTCAGAACCCACTTGGTTGGTCAAAAAGATACAGCCCTAATTTTGCATGTTCTTATTCAAACTGCTTAAAAAGGAGTTTGGAGTTGGCTCCTTTTACCAGTTGATACCACTGCTGTACTACTTTCTCAAAAAAGCAATTAAGGGGCATGGTTGGTCAAATAACAAAGTTAAGAGGCAAGGCTTCTTGTCCCAGACATGTTTATGGGTATGTGATATAAATGAAGTCTTTTTATATCTTGTAAAACACCCAGGCCATGCTTTCCAACAAACACAAGGGTTCTCTGCACTAACTTTTTACCTTTAGGTAAGTATATAACCTAATGGGATTTGGTTTCCTTTCATTCTACAACTAAGAGCTCAGAAATAAAAGGCATCTCTGAATAACAGGGCATGTGCCTACTTTAGGCCTTGATTAATATTCTGCTTTCCTCTCTGACACTTCTATTTGCCTGATTTTCTAAAAATACATATGCACTGAATCTCATTTTGGACTTAAAAAACTTGAAATGTTTGTGTGTATAGAGCACAATAAAACAATCTAACAGTGCCACAGCCTGGGATTTTGCTGGAAGCATTCCAGTTTGCTTCTCCATTGTGATTGATTAGTGATTAAGAAAATGCTGCTTTGCAATATTTTCCCTATAACAGAAGGAATAAGCAGGATCTTGCTCGAATGCCAAATCATGCATTTCCAGTTTTGAGACTAGGACACAATGTACTTCCTCTTTTGAGGAGAACCTTATATTCAAGACCTAGAGAAGACATTTATAACTTAAAATACTGCAAGACTAACAATGAATTATCCAAAAAGGAGATTATAAAACCAATTGCACTTAAAATAGCATAAAAATATTGGGAACTAACTTAACTGAGAAGGTGAGAGACTTGTACAACAGAACTAGAAAACACTGATGAATTTAAAAAGACATAAATGGAAAGACATCCCATGTTCATGGATTGGAAGATTGATTGTTGTTAAGATGTCAATATTACCCAAAGTGATCTACAGATTTAATGGAATCCCTATTAAAATCCCAATGTTTTTTGCAGAAATAGAAAAACCCATCCTAAAATTTAGACAAATCTAAAGGAATGCTGAATAACCTAAACAATCCTGAGAAACAAGAAAAAAGCTAGAAGACTCTCACTTCCTGATTTGAAAACTTACTACAAAACTACAGTACTCAAAAGTGTGCTACTGATATAAAGACAGACATATGGACCAATGGAACAGAATCCAGAAATAAACCTTTGCAAATATTGCCAAATGATTTTTGACAAAGGTGCCACAACCATTTAATGAGGAAAAGAGTTAACAAATAATTCTAGAAGATATGGATATCTACATGCAAAATAATGAGGCTGGACCCTTACCTAACACCATATACAAAAATTCAAAATAGGTCCATGCCCAAAATATAAGACCTAAAACTACAGAAGTCAGAAGAAACATGACAAAAGCTTTACAACACTCGATTTGAAATGATTTGTTGGGTAAGACATTAAAGGCAACCAATGAAAAAAAAGACAAACTGGACTTCATGAAAACTTAAAAATTTTGTGCATCATATTATCAGCAGAGTAAAAAGGCAACCCACAAAATGGGAGAAAACATTTGCAAATCACATATCTGATAATCAATCCCAAATATATAAAGAACTAAAACTCAACAACAAAAACAACTCAGTTCAAAAACAGCCAAAGGACTTGGATTTTTATCCAAAGATATACAAATGGCCAATACATATATGAACAAATGCAACATTACTAATCATTAAGGAAATGCAAATCATAACTACAATGAGATACCACTTCACAACCATTGGATGACTACTATTAAAAAAAAAAAGGAAAATAGCAAGTGTAGGTAAGGATGTGGAGAAATTGGAACTCTTGTACACTGCTGAGAGGAGATGTAAAGCAGAACAGCCACTGTGGAAAACAGTATACTAGTTCCTCAAAATATTAAAAATAGAATTACCTTATAATTAGCTATTCCATTTCTGGGCATATACTCAAGAGAACTGAAAACAAGGTCTCAGAGAGAGATTTGTATACCCATAT